ACGCAAATTGTTTCGTGGCCTTAAGTGTGAAGATCGTTGTGAAAAACAAGTGTTATTGCAACCAATTGTAGAACGGTTACAATAAGTGATCATTGTTGCCACGATTTAATTTGCGTTGCGAGGAGTTTTATTGGCGTTGCAATACGAAGATGATATTGCAGCTCTTTAGTTAATGGTTGTGATAGCCCGTCTATATTGCAACGAATATGTTTCGTTGTATGTAATAGTCGTTTGCATTACAAAAAAGTTGTACATATAGCAACGAAAAAATAAATCGTTGCAATCTCTAAGGTTCGGAGAACAATGCTTATAGGAAAAATTTTAAAAAAGAAATTTAAATTAAAAAAAAAAGGTCTAACTAGGTTTTGAACTTGAGATTGAAATAAAGCTACTTACCACTACACTATAATAGTGTTCTTGTTATAGGTAGCCACAGAACCTTATATAAATTTTAATAGCACGTCTATGTTACAACGATTATGTTTTAGTTATATGTAATAGTCTCATTGGTTGCAAAAAGGTTGTACATGGCAACGAAAAAATTAAATCGTTGCAATACCTAAGGTTCTCAACCACAATGGTTAGGTAAAAATTAAAAAAATGCTACCTCCAGGTTTCGAACCTAAGATGTTAGTTCCAGAAGCTAGGTACTTATACCATTAGACCATATATGTGTTTGTGTCATAGGTAGACACAGGAACCAATACAAATTCATGTAGACCCGTTTAGGTATTGAAAGAGGGTCTAATTATTCTATACGTACGTAGATGCACTCGTTCGACTTCCCCAGGCGGCGTCACGGCCATCCCTACCGCCAGCGTGATCGCGGCCTTCCCTACCGCCAGCAGTGTCGTCGCGGCCTCCCTGCAGCCGGCGTCGTCGCGACGCCCCTTCCCAGCAGCCAGCGTCGCGGCCCTTGAATTCCTTGCAGTCGGCGTCATGGTGCCCTAGTTCCTTCCTGCTCATCGACGAGATAAAGAGAGGGAGCACCGGCCAGTGCACCGTCCTTCCTCGGCGCACGAGAAGGGAGCCTTCTGCCAGTGCCATCGTTCGCCCTCCATCATCGACGATAAGAGACGATCAGCAGCGGTCCATCATCAACGAGAAAGACAGGATCACGTAGATCACGTATGCATGCATTGTAAGATCAAGAAAATAGATTACACGTGATCAAGAAAATAGGTTGATCTAAAATGGTGCACACTGACTTTAAAGAGGGTAATTAAGAAAATAGATTTGAGGTAGGCTCCCATTGAAATGCAAAATTTTCATATGATTCATATAGAAATTTCATAAGAATCAATTTATTTTCACAGAAAAAACACAAATTTTAGAAAAGAAATTCTACATTCCAAAGGGCGTTGTAATGGTCAGCTGGTTTGCTTTGTTTCATACTTATTTCTGAACACATGTTTCTAGCCAACTCACTGTTGTCTAGCAAGATAAGAGGTGATATTATCAATGAGTTTTAGAAGTGGCTAAAAAAAAGTTAGGAGCATATTTGTTGGCTTCCTCTAACATTTTTCAAAAAAACTCGCTCCTAAAATATAGAAGACAATTTTGCATAAGGAATCCTGAACTATTTCTAAATCATCCCAAACACTTTTATACTTTATTTCCCTCTTGTATATTTTCATCATGAATTGCTTTGTTTTACTCTTTATTCTTTCGACATCCTTTTACCTTCATATTGGCACGTCATGTACGCGCATATATTTCCACTCATGGGGGTCAGTTTTTTCAAGTGCCAAAAGATTGAGAGGTGGGGTTGAGAGTTGTTGGAGATTAGTTTTTCCAGTCTTGCCAAAAATACTGGATTGAGAGAGTAATTTGGGTACTCCTGGAGTCTCTAAGAGTTTCCAAAACCCACTCCTAATTTTGATTTTTTTGGCAAGATTGAAAAAGTTGCTCTCCAACAACTTTCTATCTCAACTCCCAATAGGTAAGCAATTTGGCATTTCTTTTTTGGCTCACTGATGTGTAAATTTTTCACTACACAACTTGATACGTCAAATTTTACTTCCCTGCAATAATAAACTATTTGGGACATTTGCTGAAATGCTTATCCTGGAAAGTGCTACTAGGAACCATTTTTTTTCTTCAGTTAATCTCTGGTTACATGTTTATCCTACAATATGATTTGTCTTATTTTGGTTAATGTTGACTTGGTGAGAAGTTCCTTGAGAAGAATGATTTGTGTGCAGTGGTACAAGCATGTCTATCCAGTCAAAAGATTGTTGTCCTCTGCTCCCTATTGTAAAATGGAGATGTGTATGAGTTTGCAGCACAATGTCATGTTTGGGTGCATAAAATTGTTAGTTATATGATTTCTACCTATTAAATTTTGTTGTATCTCCTGGCTGTTCTACATGTTGTCTTAATTGCATTTTTTTTACATTTAAAGAGATGTCAGGCATGATGGGGAGGATGGCACACCCATGCCTTCCGTTGGTAGTGGCAAACCTAGTTTGGTGAACATTGGCTACGGATGGCGAGGTGTGTTCTTTTTTCCCCTCCGAGTATATGATTTGCAGTTACCCATTGTCTGATCAATTGTTAAAAAAAAGTGCGAATTGTTAAAAAAAAGTGCGACACCTGGTGATCTCTGTTTCATGATGCTTCTAGTCTCATTGGGCACCTGTGACATGTGATGTCCTACTACGTGCTTGACGTCTCTCTAGTGCTTAACAATATTTGAAGTATCAACAGACAGGAAAGACCCGGTATGTTTTGATGCATTCACTTCACAATAATATTTTAATTATTTCTAAAATTTATAGACTTTAAAAACATAGTACAAATGGCATGATCTCAATCTTGTGTCAGTTGCCTAATGATTCCTCTACTATATATTTGCTTATTTTTGAATCTGCATGGTTGGTGAGCTATGTATGCATGTGTTAGTTGCCTTGATATTAACTTGTGGGTAGGCTTAATATTTTAAATGATGGATGACCTCTATATGCATGCGCAAGCACCAATTGGATTGCATATACATCAGGGCACAACCTCACAAATGAACTTAACTCACGGAAGCCATTCAGAAGCTAAAAGAAAAGCTGACAACGAAGTCGTTGAAATGGAAAGCGAGAAGGAAGGAAATAAGAGACAGATGCAACAGGAATTGGACAATACTAGGACGGCACTAAGAGAAGAACTTTCTTTCAATGCTAGCGCAACAGTGAGAAGAAAATCCACAACAGGTAAAAAGAATAAATAACTTTCCATCCTTCCTACATTTGTATAGCTTATGCTACCTAATCTTTTACCTCAACGTAGACTACCTCGCAAAACATTGATACAAAACAGATGCACCTATGATAGAAGAGGACGATGAGGATGATGAAATAACAGAACAAATAGAAGATACATCACAACAGGTAATGATATTATTGCAAGATGTTTCAAATAATCTTGAGTTTTGTATCTTACACTCTTAGCTAACATATATCAAACAACTTCATGTTTCTAGACTCAGCAAGCAAGCATTATCACCACACAAAAAAGAAGCTATGTCATCTACTCGTAATTCTAAAGTTTCTAATGTGAATAGAGATATTTTCACTAACAACAGTGCAAATGTGCCATCAGTGTTGTACATACAGACTGCAGCTGATGGCTAAAACCAGATCATAGAAAAAGAAGGAACATGTAACAACTACAAACTTTCCACCTTTGTTGTACATACTGACTGTTGCAGGTTATGTTCACTTGTGCTAATTACTTTTACGAAACTATATGGTCATTGTTAACTGCCTTTAGTGTCAACTCAATTACAACTATGTTGTATCTAAATTTCTTTACATTCTGTGCATGAATTATTAAACATAATTTTCTAATATCCCAATCTTATTCTTTTGTTTAGTACCCAATTTTATTTTTTTGTTTGGTAGGTGGACAAGGAGGCTCATAATCAAGCGAGGACACAGCCGAGGCGATAAAGTGCTAAGTCTTGTACTGCTGCAAGTTTTTAAAAGTTGTCAAATAATGAGTGAACTGTACACTTGTTTATGATTTTAGCTACTATTTCAATGGTTTGTCAACGTATTGAATGATTGATTATAATTAATATATATGTGAGTGCAATCGCTTTTGTTATGGTTTATTGTTTTTGGAATGATGATTTATTAAACCACAAATCAAATGCTATTAGCGTTGCAATACAAACCATGCCAACGAGCTGTTATGCATGGCAATATGATCTATGGCAACAAAATCACTTGCGTGGCAATATGATCTATGGCAACAAATAAAAGTGCGTGGGAAATGATATATTGCCACGGCACAATGACCGTGGCAATAACATATGATCTCTTGCAACGAATAAAATTGCGTGACAAATGATACTCTTGCCATGGCTCAACGCCCGTGGCAATAACGTATGATCTCTTGCAACAAATAAAATTGCGTGGCAAATGATGTATTTGCCACGCCATGGCGGCCGTGGCAATAACACTTAAGGCAACAAAATTCTAGCGTGACAATACGGACTATTGCAACGACGTTTTTCGTGGCAAATGTCTCTATTGCTACGCTATCGATCGTTGCATGTACCATCTCTTGCTACGAAGATAGGCGTGGCAAGTGCTTATATTGCCACGATCGTGAGCGTTGCGATAACATCCTATTGGCAACGGATAACTATGGTTGCAAGAAACCCCAATAGTTGCAACGCCAAACCTTATTGCAACGTGACTTTTTGCGACCATCGACGACGAACGAGGCAAGTGTTAGAAGTTAGTAGTGTGGTCTCGTCGGATCTTGGGGCAGTGGCATCCTTGGCTTGCCCAGACTTCGGATCCGCTGTATCTTCACCATCAATGGCTGCTGGAGCTTCAGAGTCCTCCATCTCCTCTGCATCGCCCCAGTCAAGCAACTCCTCCTCGATCTCCTCGATTTGGACCTCCTCGATCTCGATCTCCACGCTTGCCTCAGCGGGGGAGGCAGCCTCTGCAACGGGCGCGTGGGCTGGGCTGGTGGTGGTGGACGCCGGCGCCGGGATGGCCGCCGGCGGAGGGGGGTGGGTGGGTGAGCTCTCGTCGCTCATCACTGAAGCATGGGCTTGCTCTGCTAGCAGAGGTCTGGGGGCTGGTGGCGTGAGGCCTATGGTGGGGGCGGGCGCAGTGGTGGAGGTGGCTGGAGAGGAGGCTGGGGCTGGGGCTGGTGGAGGCTCGGGCAGCGGCGCCGCCGGAGCGCCCTTCGAGGGAGCGGAGAGGGCAGCCATCCGCCAATGGCCTCTTCAGCCACGTTTAGTTGCGCCGAGTTGGCGCCGCCTGAAAGGTTTGGAATTGTTCATTCGTTGTGGATCAGCATAAATGTACAATTAGTTTTGACATCAAGCTTATGTATCTTCTACAAATTTAATGTGGGAGAAAGTCTTACAAATTCTGAAATTTAGAGAACTAAACACCCCTAGAACACTGTGGATCAGCATAAATGTGATGGTATTGGGCTAGGCACTCGTGATGTATAGCGGCACCTGTGCAGCACCACTTGTCTGCCGTCGATTTGTCGTGATCGATGTTCCGGGTCTTTCCGTGCCTGCGTGCAGTTAACAACACATGGCCCATCGAGCCTGATTTTTCACACAGCCTAGTCCGGTCCACGGACACATCGACGACGGTTGAGTGATGCTGCACAGGTTCCCATGGTATCTCTGGTAACATTTACACCTGCAGATTACCGTTAAGCAGATTCTTAACACTCCTCTCAGTTAACAACTTAACATCTAATCCGATTAAGCTATAGTTAGGTTGCTATCGTTAGGTAGCTGCTAAGTATCCCAAAGATTGCAAATAAATATTCAGGCTAAGTATCACTATCCGTTCTGGAGGTAACAAAGCGATTGCAGTGGGACCCCATCACATCACTGCAGCTTGATCTGAGACATACCATCTCATAAGGCTGACTTGTGGTCCCATCTCACAGGGCTGATTGTGCATCCATGAGTGTGCACTAAAGTGTCCTACCTAGCCATAAGATGTGGGTCTTACACCAAAGGGAAAGTTTAAGCGGCGTCTTTGTTCTTTGCAAAAAGGAAACTAAATGTGTCTCTTTTAGGATCTCCCTTCAGTCACAATCATCAGCCCATCATCTTTAACTGGTTGCTTGTGGCATGGGCCTGACTCTGCTTCAGTGGAGTTGGCCTTGGATTTAATAGTCTGAAAACAAAAAGCAATGACGCACGGCAACAGATTAAACAATTGTTAAAGATGCTTGGTCTGTGGAGAATTGGTTTACGGCTGATCTGACAATATGACACACTCCGTGTTGCAAATCGAGGGCCTGTTTGGATTGGAGTGAGCATAAAATTCTTTTGGATTTAACTGAAGTGGAAACTCCACAGCTATGTTGATTCAGGATTCAGGAAGCATGCGCAGATGAGCTTGCGCGGTTCTAACCTGCTGCAAGAAATGGAGCTACTCAGGTTGTTTAGAAAGGTTCAGAATTAGTAGGATCATAATATCCACAACTTGTGTCCTATATATATTACCTAGCTTTCTGATCAGTGTTTTGGTGCGTTAGGCTATCTTTCGGTGGACTAGCTAGGCTATGGTTTGGTGGGTAAGAAGAGCCTAAATTGAGTTGCAATTAGTGGTGTTAAAGAGAGAAAAAGATTGTACAACTTACTTAGCCGATTTTGTCAAGGAGTAGAATGCATAACATAGATGATCTCACACAAATTATATACATAAACAGAGGTTGGACTGAAAAGGAGAAAAGGATGGCGTTTTCACCAGCCTGATTGTATACTTTGCTATTGTAATTGGTCTGATTTTGGTATTCCCCTGAATAGTACAAATAGACTGACCTCAACGTGGCTTGACAGCAAAGATTGTTTAGATACACAATCCTATCTGCGAAGCTCCTACAAGATGTAGCCGATCGTTGCTTGTTTGCATGATGGAGAAATATGATAATGGCAAATAATTGTGATGGTCAAGATGCGCTAGTAGGTTGGGTTGCTGTGACATAAAAACGAACCAGGCATCTGAATGCTGATGAGAAACACACCGATTGCAATGTTTTCCGGCCATGACGTTAGTGACTGGTCACTAAACCACCTGTCCCCTCACCAACCAAGGAATTATGATCCCAAGGACCTATGTCTAACAAGCAGTTGGGCGTCGTCATCGGGTCGAGACAGAGAAAATAAGATAAACGACGAGCGCAGAGACGATCTAGCTACGAAAGGGCACAGTTGAATTCCAAGTCTTTTGCTAATGGCAGAGAAAATGCCGTACAAAGGAGAGTGTACAATTGTAGGACTGATCTGGAATATGTAATAGCTGCTGATTCTTGTTGCAGCATAGCAACTTGTGAATTATTCCAGCGACAAAAAGGGAAACAACAGCGCACCATTTGTGGCCATACATGATACATATCACGTGTTACAAGAGAACATGGGTTGGGCCGGCCCGGGGGCAAGCAAGCGGGCGGCCGCCCTGGCCCCCCAACTCCAAGGGCCCCCACCCTAAGGTATGTACACAACACAGGTATATGTATTTGACATATTAGCAATCAAGGCTCAGTAGCGTTATCAGCCTGCCCAAGGACGCAGTTGGCATCTGCGACCATGAGAAGCTATCCCCACCCGGCCAGTCCGCGGGTGACACGAACACACCGATACGCGCTCTCCTCGACCTCGACTCCTCCTGCGCGGCGGTGATGCGAGACGCGAATCACTGTCCGCGGACCACGCACATGAGACGGCAGCGACGCAACGCAAGACGCGATTCACCGAGATACCAAGACGCAAGTAGCATTTGTCAAAAAAAAAAGACGCAAGTAGCAAGCTTCTGCAGTTCAGCTCCGTGTGAGTATGATCTAGGTATGCAGACCAAGTCCACAAAAACCCGATGCCAGTGCCGGCGATTTAATCAGAATAGGTTTGTACGTCCTCTGCTGGCCTATTATGCTCTGGAATTGAACGTGATTATATATTTATATTGGATGAGTTTGACTGATTGCAGGAGTGCCCTCACCATTATAGCATTGAAGTATAATGCGTAATCGCTAATTTTTGCTCGTGCTCAATTAAAATTAGGGTGCAACCATACAAAAATTGATTTAATTTCAGATTTAAGTTAATGTGAATTACCGGATTGGTGTTATTTTTTTTGGCTAATTCGTTCTCCAAATGTTAACAGTATCATGTCATCGAGAAAGTAAGCTTCCGGCAGTGAAAAAAGAAAAAAAAACACGAGTAAATGAGTTGATACAATCACAGAGAGGGTCTATCCATAAGTTTTAAAGATAATTTATATCTATGAATTGTTTCATATGAATGTTGTTTTTGCATATGAAATTATGTGTTTATCATTGACATTGCATATGTATTTTTACGTATAAGTATTGTCACTATCATGTACTTAAAGGGCCCCGGATATTGGTTTCGCCCTGGGCCCAAAAAACTCAGGGCCGGCCCTATATCTAGACAAAATGACATACCCTGCAGTGTGCCTAACACTCCCTCCATTCTAAAATATAGGGATTTTTAGCTGTCCCTAAGCTAAACTATGATAAGTTATTCTAGTTTTTTTAAGTACACATATAGCTTTTGGGACACACACACACACATATATATATATATATATATATATATATATATATATATATATATATATATACATAATAAAAATCATACATATAGAAAAGTCCGAACGACTTACCATTTAGAAATGGGAAGTTGGGGTGATGGATCAACGAAGCTTTATTTGGTCGAATCGAAGGCACGGAGTAGTCGGTGGGGCACATGGTGATACGGATATGAATTTAGCTTCTCTACATTCCGAATTAGGGCTAGTTTGGTAGGGCTCTCTAGCCGCTTTCAACGGTTTCGGCTCCTACTTCCCACGGCTCCAGGTCTTCTCGCTCCTCACCTAAAAAAAACCATTTGGCAGCTCTTCCTCATCAGCTCTAGCTCCATCTCGATGAAGAGGCATGGTGCTGGCAGAGAGGAGGGCGGGGCGGGTGAGGAGAGGAGGGGCGGGGCGGGCAACGCAGCGTAGGCGGAGAGGAGGGGGCAGCCCTAATGGCCCTGAGGGGGCGGCACAAAAGTCCTGAAGTGGAGGGAGCGATTCCCAGGCGTAGCGCTGCGGAGCTGTGACGTTTTTGCAGCGCTCCATGACTTCTCGCGTGAAGCGAGATCAGAGGAGCATTGCTAGACAGAGCCTTTTATTTAGCTGGTTTTTTATAGTATTTTAAAGACATACTTACATGTAGCATAAAACGTCGCTTAATTTGGAAGTGGAGGGAGTACGCATTGGGCTTCTTGCATTCTTCTCTTTATTTTCCTCGTCCCTATTATTACGCAGGTGCCGGTGGTTGATTTATCGGAGTAAACAAGACCAGCAGCAAATAAAGGGAGCTAGATTTAGCTTTGAAGGAATCAATCTACCCTCCACCCATGCATGGCAATCATGTGAAACCATCTTAAAGCTGAGACGTGCTCACGTGCACGCTCTTTCGTACTAAATCCTTGTCCTTGGCTTTAGCTTATATATACAGATACAGACTATTATAACAACTCGTGCATGATATATTGTACACGGCTACATCAGTTTACAATACCATGTTGACGTGTCGTCCTACATATGTAAAAAGAATGTATGTACTAGTAGAGAGCTATAGAACTGTCCAAACTACTGTGTTTTCATGATTTGGCTCACTCCTGGATAGTACACGAAAAGTATTTCGTGACAGCTTGGGCAACAAACTAACCGTACAAGCAGCAGCTAGTCTGGTGCACGTATATATGTTGCCTCCGACATCGATCGGCGATTGGTGAAACGTGCACATGCATGCACAGTGAGCAGCTAGCAGCTAGGCCATAGGAGGTCCGCCACCTTGCGATTTGGACGCACGTCGGTGGTCACGTCGGCCGGGCGGACCAAAGAATTTTTACGTGCGACACAGAAAGGAATGCCGCAACGCCCAGATCCGATCAGAGCGCACCCAGGGGTCCATTGCCTCTCCAATCCACCACCAACCTCGCCGCCTTCCCTGTCCCTTTGCTCCCTGCGAGTATCCACTCCTACATGTAAACTGCACTAGTACATGTGAGCCGTGCGTTCAAAGCTACTACTAGTAATACCAGCACTTGGTCTCACTCTCCCCCTGCCTGCTTTAACCACTTTGCCACTTCGCGCGGTGGCTCAGTAATACCAAGACTTGGTCTCACTCTCTGCACTGAAAAGCACCGCCGGTGAGCTCAGGGGACCGTGAAAAGCACCTTGGGTTGTTTGGTTGTTGATCTTGATCTTTGATCTTTGGTTTAATTTATTTGGTCTTTGGTTTTTTTGAAAGAAAAACACTATTTGACTTTTATTTGGAAATTTGGTATTTGAAACCAACAAACCAACAAAACTGACTCTCACACTCCACACTCGGCAATGGCATACGAGAGTTGAGCCCTACCCCTACTGTTGCAGTTCCAAGCAGGTTAGATCTCGCATCCGCAAGTTAAAACCACCAGCCATAACGTTTTAGTTCTCCTTAAATATTGTACTGAATTGAAAATTTTCAACATATATGTGGTATCGAATAACATGATTGTATAGAGAAAAGGCTAGACATGATGACCATACAGATGGATCTCGACTAGAGACAGCGGTATAATATTAGGGTCACATCACAATGATCCAAAAATGATACATAGACAATCATTAATAATGGATGTACAACTGTTGTGACCGGGCGTGGAGAACATTAATTACTGTAAATTGATTTACATATTATTTAATTTTAAATATAAACGAAACGAATCATGTAAATATACTTAACAAACATGCATGCAGCTCTATAAAATCCACATGTTTGCTAAAGATAAAGATCCGTCAATTATTCAGTTCGTGACTCCATCAGTAATAAAATACTAAATCATATCAAACACTTTGAAGAATCCGTTGCTTTATTATTGTCAATGTTTAGTAGATAGATTACTATTTTAGATTTAGATCAGCGTTCTAGGGCCACACACAAAAATAGTATATTCTACACTCAGGTTAAAGATAGTAGTATTTCGATATAACTCATTTTTTATATACTGATTTTCTTTATATTTCTAAGTATATTATATTGTCCGTCCCAAAATAAGTGATGTTTTTTATTTTTTGATATCGTTTTTGACCATTCGTCATATTCAACTTTTTTGTGCAAACTATAAAATAAATAAATAAATCATTATTAAAGTATCTCTAATGTTAAAATAAGTTATAACAATATAGATAATATTTATACAAATTTTTTGAATAAGACGAATGGTCAAACAAGACGTCTAAAAGTAAAAAACGTCACTTATTTTGGGACGAAGGGAGTACTAATTATACAACACACGTGAAAAGGAGAACAGATTGGCACAGTACATTTTTATACTTGACATGTTCAACACGATGTCAAAATACACAAGTTTAACTAGCAATGTTTGCTAGAAACATTACTAATGCATAGTAAATATATACTTTATGAAATCACATTTCAAAAACAAATATACTCATAGTATTCTTAAACACCTAAGATCAACATGAAAATTAATTTGTGACAAAGTTTTGAATGGTTGGCTAAAATCACTTTTGTTTCTAGAGAGTGTATTAAAAAAGTTTCATAGCGAATTCTATGGCTAAACGGTTGGATAAGGGAAGAATGTGTATACCACAGTATAAAATACAGTACAACGTTGAATATAGTATTTCCCCCCTTGCCCAAGAGTCGATAGAGAGGACAACGGTAATATTATTAATAGTTGGTTAAAGAAATGTTCGCTGGTACACCCATGGTTGAACTTGAACAGGAGAGCAGAGGGAGAGGCAGTCGGGTTGGTTAGAGAGGGCTGACGGCGCGGCGGACGTGCTCGCCTCTCCTCTGTCCTCTCCACTCTCCACTCTTCCGGCTCTCTCTCTCCGCATGCCATTCCTGGCAACGCATTACCGGTATTTTTAGCCGCCGGAGTAGACGGGTAGCGTAGAGAGAGGGGAAACCAGAGCTCCTGGCCGTTCCTCTCTCCCTCCTCACGGGCGAGCTCCGTCTGACTGTTCCGTCCATCCGCCACCCGGGTCGTCTCCCGTCCAGATCCCTCACCTGCAAGGTTTCTTCGCGGTATGCTCGGTTCTCTGTGGTTTCCCTTTTGGAATGTGCTGGTGCGGTGATGGTGTTTTGATTTGTGTTCGTCGCTTTGGTGGATCTGGTCGTGCGCAGAGTGGGCGGACAAGATGATGGGCGGGTTCCTCTCCAGGGTCCTCCTGTAAGCGCTCTCTTGCTCCGAATCTTGTAACGTGTTCTTTGTAGATTGACGTTTTGAGGTTGGGACCTTATCAATGTTCGGGTTTTAAATTTGTTTCCTTGAAATGGGGATTTGTGGGTACCCATTCGGAGACTTCAGTCTCTCTTGGATTAACTTCATCCTTAATATACTGCTTTCTTCACAAAAAAAAAATGAGGAGATGCGTTCCTTCTTGTCGATTTGTCCACCTTCTTCTTCGCCGGAAAATGAGGCTGAGAGCACGCACCCATTCAAAAGTATTTTATTGTTCTCGAGGAGCATGGGACCAAGTTTTCAATGCATTGCACAACGGTCAAAGGTTCTGTTCGTTTATTCTTCCGGTCCGACTCATTCGTTTTGAAGATGGTGTTCTAATAACCATATTTCTTCAAATGGTTAAGATCGGAGAATATGGTTTGAGTTAAGACATGTCGAATTGCTGTGCACTTTTTATCTTTGACCTGCTTCATCAAGAACTAGATTTGAATATTTGATCCTGTTCATCTGTGTGTTGATGAATTATCTACAGTTTTGCTGTAAGCGCATCTAAAATGTTAGTCTATTGAAGGATACTTTGATACTAAAACCATGCATCTTTAAATTGTCAGCTTTTCTTTTTGTGGTTTATTACTGAATAAAGGGAAAAATAAATAAAAAATAGTCTTTTACTGAAATGTCAATTTACTATGAGAAAGAACAGGCTTTTGTCACAATATACAAGTGCTAACATGCCATTTATCTTCCTTTGATATGTCAATTTCCTGTAGGTTGGCTTTTGGCTATGCCTATCCTGCCTATGAATGCTACAAGACTGTTGAACTGAACAAACCAGAGATTGAGCAGCTCATATTTTGGTGTCAGTATTGGTAAGGTGTTTCAATAAAGAGTTATTATGTGGTCGTAATATTGACTTCCATGAACAATGTGCCAAATTTAGTTTTGTTTCCTGTGTCTAGGATTTTAGTTGCCCTGTTGACAGTTTTGGAGAGATTTGGAGATTTTACAATATCATGGTGAGACTGCGTAAGGTTGTGATTTTCTTCAGTTCATTGACGAGACTCTTAACATTGTGTGCGCTCTTGTTGAAGGCTACCGTTTTACTCGGAAGCAAAGCTGATGTTCTTTGTATACTTGTGGTACCCTAAGACAAAGGTACTTTGTTTTTGTTTGTCCTTTGCTTCTATCTTCTTCTTTTTTTGGCACAGGACTGATGTGTGCTTTCATTACAGGGAACTACATATGTTTATGGGACTTTCTTTAAGCCATATATTTCTCAGCATGAGAATGAAATCGACCGGAATCTCCTTGAGTTGAGAGCTCGAGCCACCGATATGGTTGTCCTTTATTTCCAGAAGGCTGCTTCAGTAGGACAAAATACTTTCTTTGACGTTTTAAAATATGTTGCTGCCCAGTCACCTTCTCAGAAATCAAGGCAGCAGCGCCCTCATCAGGTGTGTATCAAATGACTATTACTATTTTTTGTCAAAAAATTCCATTGAATCATTTGTTGTTCACTGCTCATCATGTTTACACAGATACTCAAACTTGTTTTATTGTTCTTCTCTGATGCAATATTGATCATGATGTTATACTAAGTTTAGCTCTATGTTGTTGAAAGATGCATTCGCTACTGCTTCCAAGTGGTATTGTTTAAGCAGCTACTGCTTCCAAGTGGTATTGTCAAAAACACGGGAAAGCTGCGTTCATTTCATTAAGAGAGAAAGTAGTACATAGGGAGAGACTATAAACACCCCCCTCCCTGGAACACACTCACACACACCCCAAATTAGAAAGTTTTAAGTGCTCGCCAGTTTTTATTATGACTAAACCACCCACAACAGACTAAGCGGCCAGGGCGATTGACCAAAGGAGGAACTCCTGGAGCGCATGGGCCCATGCTAAACACCAGATGCTACTTTCATTAGCAACTGTCTGCAGGGCCACCGATATGTATGTACATATTTGGAATATATCATAAACTGTGATAGCATGTCAGCATCCTTGGGTCATATCCTGCCAAGTACTAAGTCATCATGTTCAACCATTTGTGTCCTGGAGTTTTATGTATGTTGGTATCTTGAACCTTCCAAAAACAAACCCATTTGCTGATATTTCATCCAAAGGAGATCACAAACGCTATGTATTTTGGTATCTTGAACCTTCCAAAAACAAACCCATTAACTGATATTTCATCCAAAGGAGATCACAAACGCCATAACACACATACACTTGTACTGAATACCTGCTAAATAAGCAAGGCACTTATGGTCGTTTGCTTCCTTTTTGTCTTGCTTAACTCGGTAGGTTCATAGTGCAAATTGTCCAGTGACGCTGCCAGCACCATTCTTTTCTTGAGAGAGAGGTAGTATGACTCTTATGTTGGATGGTTGAGAGAATACTCAGAATAAACTCAGAAATTTGCTCCATGTAGGCATTCCTTCTGTATGCCATAGGAAGAGATGTAGTACAAGAAAGGTCATCTAAATCAAAAGATGCATGGTTGCTTGTAGATATTCTTTTTGGTGTATCCTTCAAGTCCGTCAGTTCAAAATAAGTCACAGAAATGTGTGCTCTGGTTTTACTGATGTGATAGTGTTATCTTGTTACCCATGTTGAAATCATGCTTTGATGTCTTCCAGGAATCACAGCAACCACAACAGCAGCAACCACAGGTGCAGGTGCAACTGCAGCAGCCGCAACCTCAAAAACAAGCAGCACCTGTTATGCGCAGAGCAGCATCTATTGCTGCTCGGCAGGCAGCAATGGCACAGCAATCTCAGGAGACTAAACCCATTCCATCTTCGCCCAAGATCAAGCGTCAAACATCAGGGAAATCTGGTTCAGTGGCACCCACAAAGCCTGCAGCAGCTGCATCCACACCAAAACCTGGCGGTAGCCCAAAGAAAGGTGAGGCCAAACCTGCTGCCGACCCAGTTCAAACTCCAGCCACAGGTGCCGATTCACCAAAGTCCGAGCCTAGCGCCCCACCACTCCCTGAAGCCGAAGGAATAGACAAGATGGCCATTGACGAGCTCAGTGGTGATGCTGCAGAGGGCGCAGAAGGGCTTGACCCTGCGCTCGAGGAGACGCCGATGGAGGAGACGATCCGTGTGACGCGCGCCAAGCTAAGGAGGCGCACGGCCACTGAGGATCCTGCTGGGAATTAGCTGCAGGCCGTTGTTTTCCCTGCACATTGTGTTGTTTTTTTTTTTTTTTTGGAGTTTTAGGCTGTCATGTTGTTTGGTGGAATGGAGATATGTTGTTGTTCACTTGGTTCTTGTGACACAGAGTTAATTATCTTATTTCTGTGTTTTCTTAGTGCCCTTTTTCTGTGATTTCAGTTGTAAATAACACTTTCGCTACGCATGTGTATATAGGTTAGCGGCATGGGCAACGAATGCCTGTAATTGCAACATTATACACTTCAATCTGGTGACTCCCTGAGTATCTTCAAGATGTCATTCAACACAGTTTTCATCCGCTGGGGCAAACTACTTTGTTTGAATCCTTGCGGCACGCTGCAGTTAGGCCCTGTTTAGCAGTGCTCCTAGAGAGGAGCTGGAGCACGAGAAGCTCGAAAAAAAAATGTTCGGTACAGCTGCAGAAGCTGCTGTTAGAGCCGGAGTTAGAGCTATGCCAAAAAATTGACTACATCAAAGGCTTGTTTCACTCTAATTTAAATGTTGTAACTCCTACATATTTTATATTAATTAAAGCACACATGGCTACTGTTGACGCTGAATTGATCCCGGATCACATACCAGCTAGGGTTAGATCGTCCGGCTGCCACAGACCGAAGAACGCAGCGAGGATCTCACACTTACGTGGTGAAGAACGGAGAGATTTACGAACAAACCACCAAAGCATAACCACTTGTGCTTGCGTGACGAAGAACGGCTAGTTTTCGAGCAAACTAGCAAAGAAGCCGTCGAAGCTCTCGCCCAAGAGGGACCTCGGCGAGGCAAGGACGTCGCCGGGTTGCACTAGGTCGGCCGGCAAGCCTAGGGAACAATCCTTAGTTGTCAGATCAAGGGATGATCGGATGTTAGATACCTCAATTGGGTATGTACCTCTTATTTTATAGGGAGCAGGGGTGGTTTTATCCCATTGAAAAACGAATGTTGTATTATTATCTATATCGCTTTATAGAGTTTTCTTTAGGACAAAAGCTAATTATTGGCCTCTTAAAAGTTGCCTTGGTCCAATTTGAGTCTCAAACAGCTGTTTTCTTCTCATTCTTTCTTCTTTGCGCTAATCTAATGGTTCTTTTCTCCCACCGAGGTTATGATACTAGCAAGAGTCTTATTCTTCTCCTCTCGATCCTATCTCAGGTTATTTTTGACCGAGATGGTCAATGAACTTATATTAGATTTAAAGGAGGATAGACATTCATTGGGAAGTCTCGAAAGACATGGCCTTAGTTTCACAGAAGCTTTTTATAAAATCATTGGAAGGTACCATTGAACTTTAACATGCGGTACTAAAAATTTAGTATAGTTAATTAGAGCACGGTAGAATCTTACGTTTTAAGTACTAAAAGTTCTATGGATAAATTTAGTACATACAACTGAGAAAAAATAATTATGTTTATTCTCTATTAATTTTCTAATACAACACCAGTTTAGATACTCTCAAATCTATATATATATACGGTTTTGATAAAGTTTTAGGAGAGGACAGAAGATAAAAGTATGGAAAATGAAAAGGGGGACACTAGATAACTGTCGACAGATTTGATAGCTTCAAATCTGTCAATTTTTTTACCAATATAATATTGACACGTCTTTTTTGAAAAACTGACAGATATTGCAAGCAAAAAACTGTCAGATTTGAATAACACTTGTCAACATTAAAATAAGATCCAAAACCCGTTAATCTTGAAAACCAGACAACCCAATAATCAACAGTATCTGACTGCTCAGCATTTTTCATGATCACGAGTTCTACTTCTGAGTAGAGCCAAAAGACAGGGACAAATCACGGAACATTGGTCCCAGCACCGATGATACATCCATTCGGATCAAAATTTCTCAACAAGGAGAAGAATGGTTTATCACTTAACATATAGGCTCTGCCAAAATTCAGGACGGAGAATTCAGGGCTTCAGTTTCACCGATGAGTCCAGTGAACTGCTGGCCCTTTCATCAAACAGCAGCCTTTCATTCCATTGGTTGCCGCAGAGTTCTCTCTCACATCTGGAAGACGAAATAGATGGATCAGTACATACAAATACAATTGTTATAAATCCAAAAGACAACATCCCGCAAAATTTCTGTCTGTCTGAAATCAAATGAAACTAACAAAGAAAATAACAAATGAAATCAAATGTGGCAAAGTCAATTTAAACTTCATCTCTGCACTTTACTAGCAAAGATTACAGGTACCATGATCAAGTATAGAGAAAGTAGAAATAAAATAGAAGAGTTTACCCGATCCATGAAACCACGAGAAAGCATTTCATCAGCTTCATCAAAGAACAAACATCTTGATGTTATCAGGGCGGAGGGACTGCCTACGCAGCATGTCAAACACACAGCCAGGTGTACCAAACAACAACATGCACACCACTGGCAAAAATCCTTAAGTTCTCGCGGACATATGTTCCTCCCACACATGCATGAAGAAAGATATCGTACATCTGCATTTCACCAAAGAAAGAAAGTCAGCAGGCATAAATCAATCAGAAATAGGCTACTGTGCCGTGGTGAGCAAACCTTGAGCAAGAATATCGACTAACAGATAATATGGCACACACAGTACTAGGATTCTGCATATACCAGAGTTTGACTGAGCTGCGCATGTATGTACTGTATGGGAGAACAGAACAGTGATTGATGGCTACCTTGGCAGTGTTGACGTGAAGTTTAGGGCCCATGAGGGTGAACTGGAGAGACGGCAGGCTGTTCTTCCTCCGCTGGAGACAGAGCGGGAGCTCACCAAACTCTAGAGCCCAGTGGCGAGGCACCTGGAACTCGAGAAACTGCTGGAGCTCTTCTATGGGCGGCTTGTCTGGTTCCATTCCACAAGCAGGAAAATAAATGAGCAACCGACGATTAGACAGGACATCCAACACAACACACATCTGATGAACTCCAGATTAGACTGACAGTTTGCTACACACACACAAAAACACGCTTACAAACACACACAGAGACAGACAATACATAGATAAATCTGTCAAATTCAACATTAACAAATCAGGTTTTCCAAACCCAACATCCAATAGCAGGGAAGAAATAAACATGCACCTTCAGCATAATACAAGCATAATACAGTGAGGGACTGACCTGTAACATAGTGAGGGACCAGTAGTAACCGTAAGTAATCTGTTAACTGGAGTCTCTAATTCTAAGGTGATGGTGTAAAGGCATTACACGGAAGGACACATAACTGCTAAGTTTTACAAATTGCAACAAATCTTACTATACTGTGAAACTTACTGCACTGCATATCTGTGCAGATGGAGAGAGTTTACGAGAACACAGTGTCTATTGAGTTCAAGCAACTAAGCTGAACAGCAGATGGAGAGAAGGGACATTATAACAGACCAAACAACAGTCAATCAGGTAGGCTAGACTCCTCTGAAGGTGTCAATAGCTGTTGAAGTATCAAACAGAAGGAGGCTACATTCCTCTGAAAATTACTACTGCGTACAGTAGAGATGGCAAACAGAATGGGGTTCATACTACAGTCAGGACAAATTGGCACACAAAGATTGAGTAAATATGGTTCTCTTTTCTAATTTCAAAATACTACAGCTCTTTATTCAGCCTCAATGGAATTCTGCAGATCTAACTTATTGGTTTGGTAATTTCAAGAACTAAGCAAATAAGGCAGACCACATGAATGAGCAGGTCGATGCACAGATTGATCTTATCTTATTGATTTATCCACATAAATGAACCAACGGAATAGCTCCAATCATGCATCAGACAAACTCAAATATAATATCCATTATCTAACATCCATACAAGGGAATTAGATGTATGGCAGATCGACTCTGTCAAATCTCATACAACTAAAAAAAATTAAATGCTCACTGAAAAAAACACCGACCTAAAAAAACCTAAAACCAAGCATAAAAACAACCTCCAACTACAAAAAATTTGAATTACAATGAAAAATAAATGTCAGTCAGCTAGGGTTATGCTACAGAGGGACGGGGATATTGATGAAGATGTTAGCCATAGAATCAAAGCAGGGTGGATGAAGTGGCGGCAAGCGTCTGGTGTCCTATGTGACAAAAGGGTACCACAGAAGCTAAAAGGCAAGTTTTATAGGACGGTGATTAGACCTGCTATGTTGTATGATGCAGAATGTTGGTCTACGAAAAGACGACATGTTCAACAGCTAAGTGTCGCGGAAATGCGTATGTTGCGTTGGATTTGCGGTCATACAAGAAGGGATCGAGTTCGGAACGATGATATACGTGATAGATTGGGGGTAGCGCCAATTGAAGAAAAGCTTGTCCAACACCGGTTGAGATGGTTTGGACATGTGCAACAGAGAACCCCAGAGGCACCGGTGCGTAGTGGAATCCTAAGCCAGGATAGTAACGTGAAGAGAGGCAGAGGAAGACCGAAGTTGACTTGGGTAGAGGCAATAAAAGGAGACTTGAAAGGATGGAATATACCCAAAGACTTAGCCTTAGATAGGAGTGCTTGGAAGACAACTATTCACGTGCCTGAACCTTGATTGCTTCTGATGGGTTTCAACTCTAGCCTACCCCAACTTGTTTGGGACTTAAAGGCTTTGTTGTTGTTGTTGTTGTTGCTGCTGCTGCTGCTAGGGTTTTGCTTTTGAATAGTTAGAGAGAAGGGAGCAAACAGAGCAATATAATGGCTACATGTATGGACTGTCCTAGAGTAAGACCGTGTCAAACCAGCTGGGAGCTAGTGGCAGTTTCAGAAGAAGTTACACGGCAGGAATCTGCGAAACATCAGCCTGATGATTCTTTAAGATGCATTAAGATTGGTTCTTAGTCTCACTGAAGACTTAAGCAGCTAGCTGCCCTGTGTATGTGGAGTCTGGAATGCTCCAGGAAAATCAAAGAGAAATTCATCTTCTTTTCTTAATTCTTTTTTACTTAAAGAAAATGACTGTATGTATGCATGTAAAGAACAATGTAGTTACCTGTTTATTAAAAAACATTGACAATGACACTTCA